CACATACATTCTCCTGTCTATTGATGGGGAGCGCCACCTGCAGGAAACTGGGTCCCGCGTCCCATGAACATCGTGAATAAAGCACCAACCGGGACCCCACGCACACACTCTCTTCGAGTTGTGTATAGCGAACATGACAAAACATACATACAGCATAATCACTACCTTACCCTTCCCGAACCACATAAACAAACGAACTACGGGCTGCGCACCCGTGCCCTCACGGTAAGTCAATTTGTGGGGTGCGAAAGCTGTCGTTTGCACTCCATTGTTTGCGCTTCAAATGTTAATTTTCTCTTGTACATGGTATCTGATCATCACTCTCCTGATTCTCATATGTGGTGGAATCATGAGAATGGATGTGTGGATCTTGTTAATACTTTTTATACAAAGCAGAGCTCTCTGGTGAACTCCGAGCAGTAGTGCTGAAGGATTTCGTTCACTCCTTTCCCTGTTTCAGTTACATAATTATTAATTGTTTTGGGTGCTGGCTACACTACCTTCTGCAATCCTTCCCCCACTCCAACCCAACAAAGACCTGCTTTTTCCTTTTCTTTGAAGGTTGTCCCTTCTCAGGTGTAAGGCTTTCTTTCCCTCCTAAGCCTTTCTGTCCAGCATTGCCGTCTTTTAGGAGTTCGTTCTACCCCTTCCTTGATCATTTCTCCTACCCCTCATGACCCCTGCCCTGTGGCCACAGCTCCTATTGAGAGAATTCTGTCATTTTCCGATGCGGCATGACGTGACAGTAATTTCCTGGCAAGGAACCTTCCACCCGTGCCTCCTCTTCTTCTTCTTCTTCTTCTTCTTCTTCTTCCGCTGCTGAAAACACGGGGCTATGGCTGTGATGCACACCACCAACCAAGCTCCAAACCTACTGGGTGTCCTGCCTGACTCTCAAAGACGTTTTCTGTGCCACTGTTCTCTGTTGACATACTTGTGTGTGCTGAGCTTAGTGGAGCAAAGAAGGGCAAGAATGGGACTGAGGAATGGGACTGGTGACTGTACAAAAAAGACATCTGGTCCTTGGGACAAGCCTACCGTCATTGTCAGGTAGAGGCAACTTGGCAGTTTGGCTCTGGGTATGTATTCGATCACACAGGGGGAATAATGAGCATTACTCCTTTTTCTACCATGCAGGGTCTTAACAATGGACCATTGACCCGTTGACCCTCAATCATCTGAGAGGTGGAGTCCCCTCATGTAATGCCTTTACTTGGATGGCAAGTTCAAGACAAGAGTTCAAACCGAAGCTCAAGGTGCGGTGTTTCGAGGACGAAGTTTCGTACGTAAGGTGAAGGAGGGGGGGTTGGGGCACAGTTCAAACACGAGTTAAGACATGAGTTGAGCGCTTAAATGGTATGTCATAGGTCATATTGACTCTAAAGTTTCAAACTCTTGAAGTGTCGTATGACTTAAGGTTTGAACTCCTACCCACCCATAGCTCGGCATTCAAGATATGAGTTATCCTGTGATTGAGTTAAGCACGTGAGTTCCATGTCAGAAGTCAAGTACGAGATATGCAGTGCGGGTGCGGGGCCTTGGGAGATGAGTTGGAAGATGTAATTGATAGACGTGAGTCGAAATATCAGATTTCACATCGAAAGACCACAGTTTGGTGCTAATCGATCACCTTGGCATAATGCTGAGAAAAACATAAGAAACAAACACACTGTGATTGGTGTGCGCTTGCTGTGCATTTCAGTCATCTGGCAGCCCAATTGGCTGTGTTACGCGTGAGGGATGAGGAGAACGGCATGATGAGAACGACGTTGGCAAAGCATGGGATTGACGAGTACGATTACCCTGAGGTCGGTAGTTCAAAACCTGCCAAAAGAGGAAAGAATTGTCAGTCACGTGTTGTAGAGAACGAAATTATCCGGAAATGGTCGGACTTGCTAGAACTCCTGGAGGGGGGCGGAAGGAGAACACACGTGTCGTGCCTCCAAGCAGCCGTGAATTGGGCAAAGGAGACTTCGGATGAGAAAAGAGGGACTGTGGACAGGACGCGCAAGCAGCAAAATGACACGTATTATTGCAGAAGGTTGGAAAAGGATGACGGGAAAAGGAAAGGAGCAATGCAAGATGGGACAGGGAACGAAGCTGCTGGGCGCAATGGGACGGGCAAATTTACCAGGCACTTAGAAGAAGAAGAGTCGAATCAAGGTCAGAAGCAATGTCCAGTGCTACGGGATTTCGTTCCGGAGCTGCTTGCGAGAGAAATCATCACCCCTCATACACCAAGGGTTGGCAACGTGTCATCAAATACAAAAAGGTATTTAGTTTGTCGTGATTCCTCTTAAGTGCAAAGGTCACTACGCTGTCCGGCCTGGACATTTTAATTGGAAGAAATGACAATCTCCAGTGGAAACAATCCCACGCTGGCCTGCTGGGGGGGCCAGATCCAAAGAAGTCAACAAAGGGCAATCTTTGCATCCCTAGGTTTCGTAGATCATTATCGTTAGTTTGTGGCACTTTGTCCACTTGGCGCGGGGCAAGCGTTAGGATGTGGGACACACCTTATGACGTGGCACAATCCTGAGGACGTGGGACAAGGATAACATTGTCGTCGTGTCTTGCCAGCTGAGAGAATAAAAGTGGTATGCGCAGATGCGCAGACAGACAAAGCTCAACAAAGGAACAGTTCTTTGGGTGTATCTGAAAGACTGAAAGGACGCGCACATGCAAAACTGAAGACACATGCTTGTTCAGAAAGAGTGGGCTCTTTCTGAATATGATAATGCACACGTACAAAACTGATCTCCTGCAAATCGGAAATCCTATTTGGATGCAGTTGCAAAGGACCTTATTTTGCGTATATTGGAGTGGCAAAGGAGATTCATGCTCTCTCTCCTTCAGGAAGGGACTTCTGTTTCTCTATGTTTTTTTCTGCTGGTGTAGCTATTGCCGTTTTCTTTCCTGTTTTGGTTTTGATGCCCTCTGTCCTGTATGATTTCTTTTCTATCCTTCTGTGGTCCACTGTGCTTTGTTTCTGTTCTCCAATGTTGGGCCACCCTGATCTCTCTCTCCCTCTGCTCTCTCTCTCTCTCTCTCTCTCTCTCTCTCTCTCTCTCTCTCTCTC